GCTCTTTGATCAGACAGTCTTTGTCCCTTATGCACCATTGCCTGACGTTCCCTGAGGCTTAACAGATATTCGTCTCTAACTGTGTGCCAGTAGTTTTCTGTCAGCGTTATGTTCGTTTTATACAAATTGAATAATTCCTAACGCTCTTGCGGAGAGACATAATCTGGGTCGTCAAAGGCTCCTACTGGTGCAATGCCAGTTGGGTCAGCACACTGTAGAAAATCCATAGGACGAATAACAGTCGACGTTATCTCATCATGGATATACGTCAGCGGTCCGGAATTTACCATACCTGCAACATCGTATACAAGAAATCTGAAATCTTCAAGTTTCAGTATTTTGTGTCCTACAGTTTTCCCCAATGCGGATTTTACAATGCCAATCAGCCTCTCATAATAACCTCCCTGCCATGGCGCATATTCAGTAGTAAACCTCCAAGTAATACCATGGTTGGCGTAAATAAGTGTACTTGAGGATCTACTACTAATTTATTCCATAATTCACTCAGGAACTTATTGGCAGCCTTAAACTGTGTCGCATTATCGGGATAGATTATTTTGGGTTGACTTCTTACTGCAATAAACCTTTTGAAACTATTTAGGAAACTAGAAGCAGTCATATCATGGACTACTTCCCAATGGATATTGCGAGTTATCAAACATGTAAATATGCGAACCCATCGTTTCAATGTTGATTTTTCGTTTTCCTTGAGTTGAACAGGGATGGGGCCGAAATAATTCAGACCAATTATTTTAAATGGTCTGCATGGTTTACCTTTGAATGCTGGTAATGGCGGCACGGTTGATAGAGCATATGGTTTTCCTTGATATTTTCTGCAAATTGTACATTGCCTGATGTAGTTCTTTACTGTTCCTCTGCCTTTGGTTATCTACCAACGACGTCTGACTTCCGCAAGTGTTGATTGTAGTCCCATATGCATAGTTGTCAAATGAGCTTTAATTACTATAAGACGCGCTAGTTGACCTTGATGACTTATCAGGACAAGACATTTAGCATCCTCAGGTAAAGGCAAGTTCTTACAAATTCTTATAACGACCAGCACATCGGAGAATACCGTCATCTAGATACAGTCCTAATTGATCCGTAAATTTCTCCTTTAAACTTTTCGTTATTGCGATGAACTGTCTTTTGAATAGAAGCTGTTGTTCTATTCTAACTAGTAGAAATTCCGCCATCCTTTGTTCTTTGAGGTTATGGAGCTGTTTTCTTTGACATTGTTGAAGATTAAAGACAACACTGGGAATTCCCTACTCAAGGTATTAGATAACTTTACCCATATTTTTACCTTTAGGAATCGTAATACGTAGACTACTACCCTTAAAAGCTTAAACCAATTTGAGTAATCCTTTACCTTGATCCAGGAAACTTGTGTAGCAGTATGTAGAGCCTCATTCTGATATTCCTATTGCCAACTGTCCTTATCTGGTTCTACATATTGGAGCTCATTTGGCCATCGATCTTTTGATAAATTTAGCCACTCTGGTCCTTTCCACCATCGTTGATTATACAGCAACTCCTGCAATATGCAAGCCCTAGTCGCCAGGTCTGCTATATTTTCTTCTGAGGAAAGGTACCGAATTTCAATACCTTTAGCCTGTTTAATTTCTGCAAACCTGTTTGCAACAAAAACAGAAAGGATCTTAGATGTCTTTAACCAATACAGTACACACTTTGAATCCGTCCAAATTATCTTCTGTTGTATCGGTAATTGTAGTTCCTCTTGAACGTATTGCGTAGCGCGTACACCTATTATTAAAGCTAGAAGCTCTAGCCTTGGAATCGAAATACCTTTCATTAAGGACAAACGATTCTTACTGAATACCAGTTCGGTATGACAGTTTTCTTCTGTTATCGTTTTTAAATATAATACCGCTGCGTACGCTTTTTCCAATGCATCCACAAAGGTATTTATTTCCGACTTATTTTGTCGTTTTCCTTCTGTGGTCATTCAAGCCATCTTAAATTTGCTCGTAATATTCCAGGACTTTTGTATTTCGCTCCAAGCTCGCTGTATTTCTTCGGGTAAATTTTCATCCCAAGTAAAGGATTTCTTCCATAACGACTGGACTAACAACTTGGCCTTCAGACTAGCTGGCGCTAATAAACCTAGAGGATCGTAATTTTGAGCTAATCTGAATAAGATCTTGCGTTTTGTTACTGGTTCATTTGGCTTTTCTTCTTTCTGAAGGGAAATCTCCCATTTGTCGTCGTCCAATCGCCAAGTCATTCCAAGTACCTTTTGAGTTTGAGTATTTTCTAGATCTTCTACCGAAATCATCTTGTCCATGCCTGGCGCATTTGATGCCCAAGTGCGCATATTTAATGAAGCCTTTCTAAAAATATCTTTTATCACTACATACATGCGCTTTATTTCATCGCATGTAGTAGCTCCTGAAATCAACTTGTCTACATAGATTTGGTTCATTATCTTTCTTACTATTTCTACCTTTTGTTGATTGCCTTCTTTGACTAAATTTTCAATCTCCTTTCCCAAATGGTGCCTTACAATAGCCGTTAAAAAGAACGGACTAGAAATGACTCCAAATGCAATTCTCTTAAATCTATAAATAATAAGATTCTCTGGAGATATTCCGTGGTGGATGCTTTTTATCCATAAGAAACGTGTCATGTTGCGATCTTGTTCATGAAGTTCTATTTGAAAAATAGCCTTTTCAATGTCCGCAATAATTCCGTAAGTATAAGTTCGGAACCGTAATAGTATGCCGCACAGTTTAGGCAGTATCACTGGACCTCAATATAAACTTTCGTTCAGGCTTGATGCACTCTTGTTCATCTTTGCTGAGGCGTCGTAAACAATTCGGACTTTCGTCGTTTGCTTACTCGGAGTTATCACCGGATGATAGGGTAAGCATGATACATTTGATTGATTGTCCTTCTTTACTTCATCGATTATCCCATCTGACAGTTGTCTTTGCATTATGTCATCATACTTATCCAGGAGATTGTCTCGCTTCAAACGATTAAATACCCTTTTTAGCCGGTAATAACATAATTGATAGTTTTCTGAAACTACATTATTGAGATTCTTACAAGGCCAACTTACCACGTATCAATTGTCTTCATATTGTAACGTCTTATAGAATTGTTTCAAGGCTTTGTCATCGTCATTAGACTTTGGTGAGTCCTTGATACCCATCGATTCTAAGTCCCAAAATTGCGTCATTGTATCTGCTAATGTATAACAAGCAATTACATTACTGGTAACATTGTCTTCAATCGTTGTTGCACCGTGTTACATCATTTCAGTAGTCAGATTCTGTTATTCAAAGACCTACAGCAAGTGCTGATTTCACTCTAGAGCTTTTAGAGTCAAACATTTTTTACCTTCACAATATGCACTTGTAGTGCCCTCAGAAGGAATTCGGAGTGCCCGCAATAATTTTTTGAATTTTCTGATTTTCAATCTTTTTGAAACGTTTAGCGTTTATTGAAGTTGGTGTGAACAATCGGCATATCACAAAAATTGTTAGCAAACTTTTATATGGATATAATTTAAAGAAACATTGTTTATTTGACTGACTTTCACCAGCAGTACTTGTTCATTTTTCTGCATTTTACGTGCAGATTTCGGCATCTCTAAGTAATGACACAAATTTTTTTCTCTCTGTATCACTAACTAAAGTTGATTGGTAAGGAAGAAAATGACTTTTTTTTCTATTATTGCGGAATGTTTTAAGAACGCTCTAGGCGTAAAAGTTGTCACGGAAAACCGAGAGGTGTGCGTGACTGATAGAAAAACATATTATCGGAAGCTTCAGATATCAACTTTCATTAATTTAATGGACCGCAGTACGTTGTCAAAATACACTCTGCCAATTCGAGTCTTAAATAAGCCTTAGGCTACGTTCACTAATGATGGAGAAGAAGAGAAAAAAATGACAAGATCATTTTCTTTATATTCAAAAGGAAAACGTTCATGTACCGTTTAGACAGCGTCAAATGCATAATTTCTTTATTAGAGAATTTATTATATCAATAAATCTTTTTAATAATCTCAACAGTTCGTTGTAAATAATTTTAAAGACAAATTTTCTTGAAATGTTCTTTTTTTTGATTTTTCTGTTACGATCGCGTATTCAGACTCGACGGGAAGCTAAATAAAAATTTGGAAAGTGGCAGTCAATGAAGCGGCCGAATTTAAGAAGCGATTCTGAAGCATTTTTCAACTGTCATCGCACCAAATCGTAAAAATTATACACTCAGCATGAATTAGCAGCGGTTGTAAAGAAAAAAATGTCACTGGTGGGGGATAGCACTGCCATATTGACTAAAACGTTACATTCTTCATAAATTTTGAAAAGTGAAAGAATTCCCAGTATTAACTTTTAAATCCTCTTTCGTCATATCAGCCCTACGCCATCTTTTGGCCACCAGCGTGCCGACGACATGCGACCGTTTGAAACAGCTCCAGTATCACGAGACCCGTTCAAAAAACTATAACTCGTAACAATACTGTTTTCTTTTCATTACAGATATGGTGCTTTCTTTCCCCTCAAAAACCAGACTGTTGGTTGCCTGCAGCGCTGAAATCCTGCTGGATTCAATTTTTTAGATACATTAGTGGTTCCGGTCACTCCCATCTGTAATCTGAAATGTTACCATTTA